ATATCTAAGGTATCATTTAGATTTTTGTATGTGAAATGTCCATAAAACTACTAAAAGCTACATGCATTAATCTTAAGCTTTGGTATTTTATTACTTTACGTAATCTAAATTATCTATTGAACGTAAGCTGTGATATCAAGTTAGACTATTGGATTTCCTTTTTTACCATTGTATGAAAATTCATCCCGGGTATTGAATAATTTACTTTTCTTGTCCCAAGACAAGAAACGATTATTTTGTCTCACATTTCATGAAACAATTTTGTTGTGGTGTTTAAAAATTTGTTACATCGTAGTTCCCAGCTGAATTAGACTTAGAAATTACCGTTTTGTCCCACAAATTAAGTATTTCTAAACAATATTCAATGATGCAATTTAATAACTATGCTTGTAATACCTGTGTTGACACTTTTTGTTTGTCTTTGAAATTATACAAATATTAAAAGGACTATAAAATGAGTCGTTACTGTTTAGTTTCACACTACTTTGCCTTATCCAACTTGTATAAGTTTTCAGTTTTTAAACTTTGAATCAGTAGTAGGTTGTATTTTAATCCGGGATTTATCAAGTTTTTGGTGATATATAAAATTATTTGCCATATAATATCACAACTTTTTTGTTTTTTAGGTATCATATGTCAATAATTCAAAATAAGAGTTCGCTTCGGTACATTTAATTATATCTGGTCATTGTGATTGATAGGAATTGAAGACAAATTTCCATAACTAAATAAATCCCTTCGTAGTTTTTTCCCATGGCGTAGTGATGATAATGTTACGAGGCACTAAAACCCATTGGATTGTTTTCTTACAAAGCTTTACAGTTGTCCACTTAGGTTTTCAAAATGTATCCAAATATTTCTTTTTAAGATTAGTAAAAGCTCTTTGTTAAGTATTTTCACATTCGTCCTGCTTATACAGGGTGCCATAGCCTTCACACTGTTCCTTACCAACTCTTCACTTGGTTTCTTAGCGTTCTTATTTGTAGGGCAGAACTTCGTTTTTTCAATGTCCTTAATGTATCATAAATTCCTAGCTAACATTTGAATTCATTCCACGGGAATTTATTAGTTAAACTTATGTAGAGTTTTTTATTGACTTATTGTAAACCACTTCCTGCTGTAAATTAAATATTTTAACATCTCCCTCAAGCAGTTGAATGTTTCCTTGTCGCTTATAGCTCCTCCAAAATCAAAATCACCAGGCCCTCAACCCACTGAAGAAGTGGCTAGGTAAGAAGGGTTTCATTGTCAGATTTTTTTAACCTTTGTTTCGAAATTTCTTTTAAACGTTTTCATTAATCTGATTACTAGGTAAACCGTATTTAGACCATTGTAAGCTTTTATTCAACCCTAGTAAATAAAGTTAGCTTTGCATGTTTTAATTTGGCGACAAGTTAACAGCGATATTTGTCTTAAGTAAGCTGAAAACTAGTAAGCTGTTTTACATGTAGTAGGTCACAGAATGTCGTGTTGCTTTGCATTCTAAAGGTTTTGTTTTCCCATCCGTGTAGTAGAATGAGTTACTGTATTTACATAATAATATTCCATCATGCATAGTACGTAATTAATCAAGTAATATGTTACTATAGATAATTCCCAGTAGTAGTAGCAGCAGTTTTTTTTCAAATATTTGATTTAGTTTAGATATAGAAACAGTAGTCTAGCGTTCAGTTCTGAATGTTGGTTCTATTCATTTTATTGTTATGATAATTTTATTATTTAACTAAACTAATAAACTGAAAAGTTAGTGATCTTTTGGGTTTTTGGAAATTTAACTTTCTTACTAACGTACTACACCGTTCCCCAGCTCAATTCCTACGCCATTAAAGAAGCCTCGCTTAGTCGATGATGAGGGCGACACCCCTAAATCAGCTAAGCTCAATGGTACTCCAACTCGCAATACCAATCCGACGGCCCCAGATCCGAATTGGTCCACTTTTTCCAATGCGGCTAATGCACAGAATCAGAAGCGTGCTCAGCGAATTCTTCGACATCCTCAGTACACACCAGTAAGATTGAAATGATTTGGAAATTATTGTAAGCATGTCAGTCTTAAAATGTTTGAGAGATTAGTTCACGGTGCATTACAGTTTAAATTATTTTAGCTAGTTCTTAAGGATTTATAAGGAGTTTTTATCATAAGTTAATTATTTATTTAGTGAGAAACACCATGAGCTTTTTATCTTATTGTGTAGGAACTCTACTGCATATTTTTATTACAAGACGTTACATTGTTTTCAAATAAATTCTAATAGTCGAGTACTTCGGAAACTTTTATAATATTTAGTTGAAACTTCTTTCGTTTGGTGTTTTATCCTAGGGTTCTGTTTTTCCTTTGTTCTGTTAAAATGCATTTCAGTAAAATTCCAGTGTATTTTACCAACAGGATAATTAATATTCATAAAACAACTTTTGAAGTATGAATTCTCATGTAACGTGTACTTTGTTAATTAATAGACACTGCTCAAACTATTCATTCTTGCAATGCCGTACAATTTTTGTTTGATTTCAAATTATTTCATGAGTGAAGTGTAATTACTTGTGGTAAAAAGACTAGAATTATGATGACATACATTTAAATAGTGCTAATGTATTGCCTATTACTCTTGATACGAAGTTTTTATTTTTTTACAAACTGACGTTTAAAATAGGTGATTAAAAATGGTTTCGAGCATTTTTCTTTTTTGGGGATTATGGTTTGTGATTTGAATCCACATTACAGAAAGCTTGTTTCAGATTCAGTCCAGGGTTTTGATATGATTTCTCACTAAGATATAGTTTTGTCTAAGTGATTAACCCCATCAATTCATTTTTTAATCTAGGGGTCTGTAACTAAGCTGAAAACACAAATACATTTCTTTCTAATTAAGTTATTCCATTCAATATTTATTCTAGGTTTATTCGAATACTTAAAGTATAATATACATCTTAAGTGCATTAGTTGTCTTAAATCTTTTTATTCACCTGACTTACTGTTTAGTACGAAAGTTTTGAGAAACAGAACCGTTCAGTCTAACTCCAAGTTAATAAGGATTCAAAGTATATTCACGAAATTAGTTTTAGATTTTCATCTGTCTTACTAGCAAATGTATGTAATTTACGGAAAGTCCAATCACGTAACCCGTTTGAGAAAGTTATTTTAGTCTAGTTTATTATTTAATTTCCAGCCACAAAGGTCAAATGTTCCTCGCTCACAAAACCCTGGTGGTTTGTCGTTTTTCATGTCGAACCCGCGACTTATGCCTCCAACATCTACGCCTACACGGGCTCCTGCTATGCTTTTACAACCGGGTTTGAATATTAATAATCAAGTATCAAATGTACTGACTCCTCCCAACAATCAACCGAATATCAGTATGCGTTTACCTATAGTACCTCCTCAATTGCAACAGCCACCACAGTCAATGTCACAACGTATGCCATCAAACTCCCCAGGAATGCTCAATGCAAATCAACCTATGGGTGGTGGATTTTTGAACAACATTCAGCCACCTCATAACCAACCACCAAACTGGCAAATGATTCCAAGCGGTCCCGGTGGACATCCAATGGGTGGTATTGGCCTAGGGATGCGTGTTGGTGGTCCTGGAGGACCAAATGTGAATAATTGCAGGTAAGGACTTTATACATTACCTAGGTATTTGACCTGTATATAATTGTAACAACAAATTGACGAAACAGCCAACCTCATTTTAGCTAATACACTAATTTGAATTTTACGGAAAGAGGGTTTTAGTAACTAAATAACAGCTTTGCAGTCTCAGATTTTTCGTATGCTTGTGCTTTGCTACTGAAATGCACGTAACGATTGTCCCCTTTAGTCAATATATCCGAGTTAGAATAATGTGACACATGAATGTAATCGCTTGTTGACTTATAAATACTTTCATTGGAATTTCGGAATTATCTGATAAAACCATAATATTATAAGTACACTTGTTTTTACAGCTATTTTTTCCACTTGAATCTCTTCAGGTGTACTGCATTTTGTAACATTAAACCAATGAGATTGTAAATCCAACTACTTTTTAGTTGATTGGTCTTGATCGTAAACAACCCTAGTATGTGGAATGTATTCATTATCAAAATTCATTTTTGAGATATGAACAGGTTAAGACTAACTCGCCAAAACTTCCCAATATTTCTTTTTCAGTTTTATTTAAAAATGCAAATATATAAAGTCATGAACTGGTTAGTATAAGCTCGACTTAATATGAAAACTTATCACTTTATATTTTTAGGTCATGTGGTTTTCCGAACCCTCCATCAATGCCTTTTTGTCGAAACTGTCGTTCTGGTCTTCGGTGAATTTGAAGGTCCTTTGTGTTATTGGTGCTTAATTTATCATGTAATCTGTGTTTACACATACTTCTTTTTATGCAAATAGTAAACGGGAACTTTATGCCAAAAGGAAATACTTAATCTTTGCAGTTAACGCCTGAACTTACATAATTATCCACTAGATACGTCAAGAAAGACATGTAGTTTGTCTATTTAGGATGGTCAGTCAGAAAAATGGTGGTCATTAAACATCGTGTTTTGGGAAAATAAGACCTACCATTGCCCTTCTGTAACCTTAAAGGTGTTACACTAAATAAGCATATCTTGACAACTATTTATTTACTTAAGAGCAGTGTTATGTCGTGATCACTATGAAAATGTCAAACAAAAGATCGTGATTATTAGCATGGTATACAAGGCGGATTATGATTTGATTTATAGCAGTGCAGTGGTAATAGAATTTTTGTAAGAGGTAACGCTACTTAAGCAGATAATCAGCATCAGCTTGCGTGATGGGGTAGTATTGACACTATGTATGTAGTTGTGGCCACGGGGCTGACTTTACCTTATTATTTGTCGTTTGGTATTGCTCAATTTAAGTGCGAGTGCATGTTAGATTTCATGCGTAGAAAATGGGCAGCTCTGGCTGCGTTAAATCACCAGCAGCTGAGGTTCATCTTGAAAAGAGTGCTTACTTAATCCAAGCATTTGTGTTTAGACTGGCAGTGACCCAAATAGTCACGAACAGCACCTAAATATACTGTGAATGTACACTGAGCATACCAAACATTACAAGACAATCTCAAGTGCCAACATCAAGACAACCAAAAAATTTGCAGCAAAAATAGTCACCAGGTTCGTCTATATTTTTTATTGGGATAGTCCAACAGAGTTCAAAAAGTGGGGTGCTCGTGCTATTCTTTTTTGCCACCACAGGGAAGTGCGTAGCGCTCTCGCAGGACGAGCGACTATTAAAAACGATGACGGCCGAGGCCTGTATACAAACTTTGCGAGATTATGCCCGTCTCCCTTCGTTGCTAAGTGACGGGCCATTAAGTCGTAGACCATCGTACGGAAGCCACAGTTACATCTTAAATATCCTCTTACAAATAACCCTGCAGGGACGTGTTCGTTTCTGCACCGCTTTGTATGAGTAGTTGATGAGAAACATGGATCGTAAAGCGATGCGTTGACAGTGCTGGGTGGGACTGCTTCGTGCTGTGCGGTAGTGTTGATGTACTTGTGCCACGGTTGAGTATCATTAAAATCAGATGACTGTTGTATGGGCGGTGCACAATGAACTTTGCTCCAGTGCCAATTAGCCGCGACAATACATGATGTAGTGTATTTGCATCTAGCACAGCGCAGTGTCATGTTGAAATGTTTATGTACAGGGTGACGCACCTGCTCTCCACATTCTAAACACTTTAGTCGTGTGCGTGGTGTGTGTGCAACTAGTTGATTTGAATAGGAAAGAGACAGTTGATCTTCGGTTAGATGAGACGAATGTTCACAAGCGTTACTTCGGTAACTAGGCCTTGATAAAGGATGACCAGAATGGTGTAAATACTCGTGCCACTGAAGATCCTTTTTATGTATAAAATCGAGACGACATGAGGTACATCGATATGTCGTTTGCTCCCAATGTTGCTGGACGTGCGTGTAAAACGCCTGTGCATCGAATATATGTAGTCCTAAATCTATACTCCACAAAATAGACAATTCGAAATGTTTTAGACAATACGGACAGAATATGTGATTTGTTTTATGGTGGCAATCTTGGAAGTGGGATATCAATTCACAATAAAAAGATGATCTGAATCCGTAACATATTGTGCACACGTAAGGCGAGTCTAAATACACATGTCTTTCGTATAAATGTACAGCAAATTTTATAAGTGATACAAAGTTGCTCTCACAAATAGGACACACAAAACAACCATCCATTAGTGCGAGGGGTGTATGTTGTTCTACATGCCGATGGATCCAATTGTGTAAGGTCATACTGATTCCATCCGGCACGGACAGGCACTCTGTGCAGAATTTGAAAGACATTAATGAACCAAGTTCGAGTTCATTCACCAGCAAATGTGCTGAAATATGTCTTAAGAACTGAACATTATCTAAGTGGTTTCCGCACGACGGGCAGTGTACATATCCATGTAGAGAAATAAAGGATGAGACAGTTTGGATTTCTTTGAGTGTACAGTAATACTTTGACCATGTTATTTTGGAATGGACATTGAGCAAGCTGGATAAAGCTGTCATCACTACTGAAGAAGATTAACTTTAATTAGTTACAAGTACCTTATGCATCAAACCAAAAGCTGTTTGGGACCATTTCGGTGGCTGATCTTTAAGTAATGCGACCGAGCACTCGTAACTTTCAGATGATCTGAGAAATATTTAAAGTATAGGGGGAATAATTAATGAGAGTTAACTAAGTAAAATGCAAAGTAGTAAAGCTGTTTATTAAGGTCAAAAGGATGTAAGGTCTTATTGCCTTCCGCAAAGACGGGCTTGTCATCTTTAAGACCTAATCCGACCGGACCATATCAAGTTCAGGATGTCCCATTATCCTAAAATCAAGGGATTGTTATAGTTATTTTCCAGCGCCTATTACTAACTTACAAATACGTTACGGAAATGTGTGTTCGGGCTACAGATATGGGTGTATCTGAGATGTATCAATAACATTCTAAAAGCCAGTTGCACAATAAGATTTTTGGTTGTCTTTGTACTATTTCGAATTAAAAATTAAGAAATCATGGTCTCAATAGTGTAATGAGTAAACAAAGCAGAACTCAAAAACGAAGTGTGAAAATATGTGCTTAACAAGGCATTTTCAGTGAAGATTAACAAAGGTTTATTGTATGAAGTTTAAATACGGAACGATAGCTGAAAATATATGGGAACCGATAATATGTAAAGACTGGGTTGTCATTATCACAGTAGGTGGTGTGCTTAATAAACCTGAAGCTATTTAGGCACTTTTCAACACTGATGGACATTTGGTTCCTCTATACGTACTGTACATTCAGTGTCACTGAAGTCTACGTAAACTCACGGACTTTTACAATGAATATTAATTTGATAGCACGATGTTTACTCGATGAATGTTTTTAATCCTCATGCAGAAAATAAGCTGTTTGGTTCCTCACCATATGGTAACGTGATGTAACCTCAGTTTTCAGAAAGAATAAATTTCGATTTTAACAAACCTACGACGAATTATAAACTTTAGCGGTTGTCCCTCTAATTTCAAAGTTCCAATCAGTAAGCTTTTACTCTTTATATTCACGTGACACACTTCTGGAGAATGATCCATTTTTGCATATCATAGTAGTCACATTAAATCACTAATATATATTGTGCGGATGTTTAGACTGGATTAAAACGGCGTTGTGATTTGTCCAAGAATAGTTAAGACTGAGGAATTTCCCGATGCAATAGTTGCTTAGTTTGTCAAGTAGTCTTTGGCTAATGTTCAAGGTGACACGAAAGGGGGGACGTCGATAATGCGTAATTGAAACGAGGGAAATGTAGGAAACAAGCTTGCCGACAAACGAATGGGGAAGTTTGTCATATTATATACAGAAGGGCCGGGAGAACAAGTCAAGTGAGAGAAAAGATATATTAACACAACAGGAAACGAAAAAAGGAAGAGGAGTTATTTGGCCTACTATAATTTTTCACGATTGCATGATGAAGAGGAACCAACAAGGAACGCCATGACATACAAACTGGCTGGTCTGTACGACCAGAGCCTCTGAGGTAAGACCACAACTCACGGGCGACCTTGAAATACTTTTAGACCGGTCAGAATTCAGGTGACACAGCTGAACAATCTAATACCCAAAACACTAAGTATCAGAACGTTATATAGCTTTTACATAATCAACACACTTAAAATGGATCCATAATAGGATTATTTGTGGTAGAATCGATGTAGGTGAAAAACAAGAATAACATACAGCCTTAGTCTGTTTTACCTTTAGAACCATTTTAAGGCTAAATCCTATTCATCTTAAGATAGTCTACAGATCATGACCAACCTGACCACATATTCAAATGTGGACATCAGTCACAGGTTAGACAAAGTAAAGTGTACAAACGGTGTCAGGATGGTTACAGATGACAATTTCTAAACAATTATCCTGTTAGACATCTTATACAGCACAGATAGCCTACAGATACAACAATTTTCCTACAGACCCTTAACTACGTCTGGGATGGCCAACCAGTATTTAGCGTTGCCAACGCACTGTGCATTAAAAGACGGTCCTCCTTATTATCTAGCCTTCTTACTAGCATCACATCGACCGTCTGTTTAAAAAACATATATGCTTACCAATCTCGAGTAGCCTATAGTGTTATTAGAAACAAATGAGTTCGCTCTTTAGACGGTACTAACCAATGTCATAACATTTCGAAATTCGCGCGAAAATTTTACACCTGTTACCTTCAATCTGATTGGTGTATCCATGAGGCATAGCTTCAGCGCTTTTATTGATGTTTCAAGTTGGGTAGTTCATTGGTAGGAGTAGAATATATAGGCAACCTTGAACTACCGTCATAGCTACTGAGAAAGGTGCATGGCTATGAAATGACCCATAAAAATGAATTAAGAAAATTAGGATAGGTAAACCGTTTTAACACAAAAATCCCCGTTAAAACAGATCACAATATGGTGAGCCATTTTATGTAGATTATCAGTTTCAATCATGAACTGACGTCGGCTGTCCTTTGAGGCTACTTCGATGAATGAACTTCACGTTAGTATCTGATCGGTTCGTTCATGTCCTCTACTTCTGTCAGTGTTTTGATCACTGAAGTTGGTAACTCTCTACTATGGAGCTATAATTCTAAATAGTCATCCGTTGACAATAAGCTGTTATGCTGAAACTAACGTGCAAACGCGGCAACCGATAATTCCACAATGGTGGGTATACTTTAAGTTGAACATAACTCGAACTCGACCGACGGGTCAACTTATTCGGATGCATGTAATCGGAAAATGAATGATAATTTAATAAAGTTTAGGATGAAATGTGAACGCGATTCGAACTTGGCTCACGTTCAAACAGCAGGAGAACGCATTTGACCTCTAGTACTTACCGTTGAGAAACAAACGACCTTGAGGGCGAAATGCCGCGATCAGTACGTAATAAGTCGAATCCAATATGGAGTATTAATAAATTGTACTTTTGGGCTCGCATTTTTGTGCTGAATTATGGTTCAGGGTACTTAGTATGTTTCCGTATACCTTGGCATTTCATTTTTTGGCAACACTGTATTCGAGAGTCTATAGCTTTTGGAACCGATCGTTTATCTATTGACCCGTGGTACAGTTTTCAGATTGGGATGAACAGGACTAGAAAGAATGATGGGCAAAAATATTGATTGAGTAATGCAAATAGAGTTCATATGTAAAACGTATAGGATAAATGGTGATGACAACGAATAAAATATGTTACCATAAGTGAATGAGTAGGCAAAGGTTCGAATGTTTGTTTCTGTCATGTCATGTATACATGCGTCCACTTGAACACTAGCCAGAAGATGATGACTGTTGATTAAATGAGTCATAATCAGTCCTCATAGGACAGCACGTAAGGTCAAGTGGAGTGTGCTTCTAACTTCACGACTTGTAGTACCGCAATAATTCAACCTCCCTTTTGACTGTATCGACATAAATTGCTCGTACTACATGGTCCGGCAGAGTATCTCAGCAATCCCTGACTACATGAGACAAAAGAAGTGATAAGAGGGGACGATTTGATTTTGACTTTCAATGTTGTCTGAGAACCCCTCTTCACATGACCGGTCGTCAATTAAGGGAAAATATATGAGAACCGTACAACCTTAGTAGACAGCAAGCTAGTGTTAGACCACCTCACTAGGAGCTGTGAGAGTGGGAAAAGTAAGTTAGGAATTCTCAACAGGTGAGACAATTCTTTCATCATTCTGTTCCTTCGTTGTAGAACGCCTTCCAGAATACTTGCTTGACGCTTGAAATAAGGGCTCATTGACTGAAGTTCATATTCTAGACGCTGTTTTATAAACGGTAGGTGCAATATCCTGGAAGTTTCTCCGGTTAAATTAGGGTGTGTCTTGTTAATACAACATAGGACATATGAACCTTTGGCAGCAAGCGTCCAGGTGTTGCTCGTAGATTCAAGGTTATTACTGATTTTAAACCTCGAGTCTTTGTAACCAGTCGTATTAGGTAATACTGTTTCCCTTATTCTGTAAAAACGTAGGTTTCCACTCTATCCAATTTGCACTACTATATTATTAAGAAAGTTTGTGAAGGTTGTTCAATCACCATCAATTCGTCCGCTTCACCAGTACATTCAAAAAATGTTTATGTTGTTATTTTATCGGACAGGTTGGGAATTATTCAATTTTTTAATGCAGATAATGAAACTTGGAGGTAGCAACTTCGCAGAGCTGTGTAGATCATTTCAACAAAGTGAAGACGAAGCTTAGCATCGTCACTCTTGACAGATTTTCATATTTATGAAGAACCATTTCTTCTTACTCATTGCCTTCATCAGGTGAGAAAATGAATTATAAAACTTCTTATCCTATAACTCATCCAAAAAACACCAGTTTAATTAACTTCCTGTGTGGAAGGCTATACCGAAAACTTTGATAAGATCTGTCGAAATTACTGCGAGATTTATGGTCCTAGTAATCCTAGTAATTTTTTGTTTTCGGATGTATTTGAGTTCAAACATAAAAATTTCATGAATATCCATAGTTCTACAACGCTATTGTTTGTAACTTCTCCTTAATGCATCCAGAAATATATTATCTGAGCTGGTTACCTTTTGCGAGAGATTTGCAGCACCGTGTTTTTAAAGGTGATCTTGTGCAGATGGTAGTCGAAGACCTTCGGAACTAATTATTAGGAGCGTCTATTTATCTCTAAAATGACAATAATAGTCAAGAGAATTTGTCTAATCATCCACAAAAGTGGTAGCTTCAGACTAACCATCAGAATAAAATAAATAAAATATAGTCAAAATATACTTCGATAAAGTACATATGCTAAAGATAGCATCATGTTGTGCAATCATACTACAGAATGTTGGGCGCTAAAGCCGTTTCATATGTATATAAACATATGACTCCTGCTACACATCTATCTTTCTTGGGGTTAAAATTTCCTTTCAAAAAGGACCAACCAAGCGTGGAAGCTGTTCCCTACAAGCCTGCTGTTGTCTGGACGAAATGTCAATTTTATTTCACAAGACTGACTACTATTCCGAATAACCATTTACGTTATTTTCATAGCTATGCCAGTTATGCGAACTACATGGTCGTTATTAATCAGGTATATACCCCTAGTCTCGTATTCCGGATAAATAATTGCATATTCCTGACCGCCCGACAGTTTACATCGCTCGAGAAATATGTTGAATAATATTATTACTTGACATGTAAGGTTATCTGTCAGAACATCCTCAGCGGTATCGGATCTCCGGCACACGATTCTTGAAGCCGAACATACGATTAGTGCGATAACCTGAATTAAACACTGTAGACAAGGAGAAAGTCACATAGAGTGAAACCAGGACGACAGAGTCGAGAATGTATGGCCCGACTCTATATAACCCTATATAGTATAATATAAAACGTATTACTCTAACTGTCCCAAGTGTGTTCTACAGATTTCCTTAGTTGAAACCACTGACTGTTAAAGTAGAATATATCAGTATAGATGAGGAATTGACTTTGAAGTGAGGTTTGAAAGATTGAGTAGTCACAACATAACAGGTTCAGAATTTCAGATTAGGTTAATTATTCTATTGGTAAAGACAAGTGCACTAGTACCAAAATAGGCATTAATCTTAAACATTAAAGTTTGAGGTTTATTACTTTCAATACTACAGAACTTGTCTCGTACAAAATGGTGTGCTTATCAAAAGATAATGTTTTTCTAAATAAACAGGTAGGAAATGCTGAAAATACTTCGCTGAGTTATTTTGACAAGGCTTCAGCGTTGTCAACATCATCGGTTTGAAGTATGAACGGGTTTTTATTCAGCTGAAAAGGGAGGCTATCATCACGCCTTTGAACTCGTCTCTAATGTAAGAGCGCAACGTTTTGGATCTGCTTTAAACGTCCCGAACCAGCAATTTCCGGTAGAATAGTTTAGTCCAAAACACTTAGTACGAAGACGTACTTTCGAAATAAACCTTTCTTTTTCAATTAAGAGCTAAAATTAAACAACCATTGAATTTCAACAGAACATATCCTGATGGACAAAATTCCTGCTCCTCATGTACGTTCGAGAGGTTGAAACTGAAAGTGTATTGTGACGATGGCCCTTAATAAGTCTGACAAAAGACATTGTGATTCATATCAACTGTCAGTGAAAGAATAGGTGGACAAGTTATCTCCTCAGTTTTGTGTCACAGTATAGAAATCACTAGCTCGAACCAAAACAAGCAGGTTTCTCAACATGAAACTCTACAACGAACTCTGCCATAGTCATAATGAGCGTAGAATCGAAAGCATTATTATTATTATTATTATTATTATTATTATTATTCACAAACATCTTATGGGTACATAAGTGTTGTGAAGAAACCATTCCAGGTTTCTTCAAAAAACGCAATAATACACAATTTTCAATAATGTTAGCATTATACTTGCCATATTTAAAAAAAATTAGAGTAATAATAGTAGAATATTAATAATAATAAATCGGGTCTGTGTAATTGAGAAGAATATTGAATTGAGTTCAAAGAAGGAAATGGAGAAAATAAGGGAATAGAAATAAAGGAGACGTGAAATACGCAAACAGTTTAATTGGCGTGTTTATGAACATAAA